TTAAGTGGGTTACTGTATAGTGATATTTCTGATTATTTTTAATATTACATTCTTTACTAATGGTGCAACAAGTTAAATTCTCTAATTAAGACTGCCAAAAATAATCATTTTCATAACACATTTCTTAAACATAAAAATGATAGCAAGGCAACCTTGAAGACCATTAATTCACTGCTTAAATAAATTAAAAAATCAACAATCAAATACTCAATTGTGAGGGCATAATGACCCCCAAATAATCACCAACGCATTTAACAATATTTTGTAGAAATCGGACCGTCCCTTGCTAGCAAAATTCCCCATGCCAACAAATCCTTTAAAGACTTTCTACCAAACCCAACTCCAAATTCATTTTTTTTTACCCCAGTTGATGAGGCTGAAAATATCAAAATACTTACCTCTTCTGATACCAACAAATCTCCTGGTATTGGTGTTTCAGAAAAGGACACAGTACATCCATGGCCCTCATTCATCTAACAAACAAAATTGTAACTGCATTTGAAAATCGCCATCTTACTATCGGAATTTTTATTAATCTTATCCAAAGTTTTCGACAATATTGATCACAATATTCTTTTATATAAATTATTTCGCTACTGAATTTCCGGAGCCGGCATTTAAGCTCTTCAAAAGTTATTTATTTAATCCTGCCCAGTATACCAAGTAATGTAATTCAATTTTACATTTCAGTTCAATTACTTGTAGTGTTCCTCAAGGTTCTTTACTTGGTCTCTTTTTATTTATTTTATATATCAATGACATTCATCTCTCTTCTTCAATACTCAATTTTCCTCTATGCTGATGACACTACCGTTTTTTGCTCCGATCAAAATTATTCGATACTGTTAATTCCAATCTTATTCCCATGTCCCAATAATTTGCTAAAAATAAACTATCAATTGATTATAAAAAATGTAACTTCATCCTGTTTGGAACTATACAGAAATTAAAAAATATTGACCTCTCAACCCACAAGATTTTTATTGATAACTCTGTCATCCCATCTGTTCAATCAGAAATTTTTTTAGGAGTTTAAACAACATCTTAACATGGAAAAAACATAAAACCGAGATTGAACTTAGATACTGCAGCATTGTTTGGGCCAATACATATTCCAAATTCTTAAAAAAAATAGCTATTAGGATCATAGCTGGCGTTCCACCGCCGTCTCATTTTTCCCATTTATTTTCCAAATTGGATATTCTCAAACTCACTGACATTAATTTAGTCCAAGGAAAATTTGTCTTTTCTGCTATGATTTCTATTCTTCCAAATCATTTACGCAATATTTTTATTTCCAATCACTCTATTCACAATTACACCCGATCTAGAACTCATATTCACATACCTTTCTATAAAACCAACTATTTTTAACATAATATTAGATACTCAGGCCCTACAATGATGAACAATCTCCCTTCCCCAATTTCGTAATGCTGTTTCTCTAGGAACATTTTCAAAGAAAATCAATCTACACCTAATGTAATATACTATTAAATTAGTATATCCTCGCTGATAAATCGATATATTTTGCTTTAATATGAACTTTAGTCGTTATCCATCCACCCACCCACCTATCGATCCATCCATCTATCTATCTATTTATTTCTTAATTTTTTTTATTTATTTTTTGTTTTTTATTATATTTATTTATTCATTTATTCATCTTCAATTTTATAATTTATTCACTTATTCATTTTAATTAATTAATTAATATATTTATTTATTTCTTCCCTTTCTGTTTATTTGGCTCTTCACTCATTTGCTTACTTATTTTTTTTATTGATTTTATATTTATGCTTGTTTCGACTTTTATTTCCTTTAAGGCAGGCCCATCAAAATATCTTTATCTTCTCGCATTCTTCCATAGCTTGTTTTCGTTTTTATCTTAAATCATTAAATCTTTCAAATTAAAGTAATATATATGATATAATATAAGGGTGGTGACAGTGGTAATAATGATAACTATTATCATTATTATTGTTTATTATTATCATTATTAGCTTTATCAAGTATTTATTCTAAAGTATTATCTCAAACAGTGCAATGGAAGACCTACCAGATAGTGATTTAATTCACTTTTTAGGAATCCTTTCCGCCTGTTTGTTTCGTTTTTTCTTTCACTGTACATGTTTTGATATGTAACCTGTTGTATTTTTTTGAGGCATAATAAATTGAATGAAATTAAATGAAAATTAAATTAAAATTAAATATTGTATTGCATATTTTGTGTGTTTGTACTATGAAAGTAAATAAATGTCTTTTGAAATTTTAAAATTGAAATTGAAAATCATTATTTTAATGATAAGTTTATGTTGGTTACCGTATAACATACGGCAGTAAAAAGAGTTCTGTATATNTATGTGTATGTGTGTATTATACATTGTCCATGTTTGTATAATTGTTCATGATTAAAAGCTTTGATGAATAGTAATATTTAAATGTTATACCGGTATGATGTCAAAAAATTGATTATGTTGGGTGAATTATTGCTAAATTGCGCTTCATTTGTTTTATACGAATCTAATTTCATGCCACTACTCATGAATATTTATATTTCCTATACTATATCATTCATTCAGATTAACATTACCATATATATGTACAAATATTTGAACAAACGATACTTTCGAAGAGCTCATGCCGCCTTATTCAGTTTAAAATTCAAGATTATAAGAGAACTTCAAGATAAAATTTTATTCGGGAAAAATGACTTCAATTCAAAATAACACAATATCGTGAGTTTAACAACCATGCCTAATGTAGACTCTATGGCCATAATCTATTATGTAAATGAATTACAAAGGCATACATTAACAACTAAAGTTTCTACTATTTCAATAAAGAAATTACGATATTTTATGTGGCCCTAATTTATTGTTATTTTTCAGTGACCAATAGTAGCCACTAACGTTATTTGTCCCGAAAAATTCTCTGACTAATGTTTGTTGAACCACAGATCCTATAAGTAGGATCTGTGGTTGAACAGAACACATTAGCATCAAAATCCAATTCTCTGGATTTCCGTGAGTCTACAAATGTATTTGGCGTCTGGATTTTAAATGCTGCGTTGTATTTAATATTTTGCACAGAATCGAACATGTGTGCACTGTCCCTGCCTTTATGCTGTGCCTCGATTCACATTGCAGAAGTCTTGCAGCTATTGACGGACGGCGCCCTCTCGTGCATATTGTCGTTTACGAAATATTGAGCTTCTCTAGAAATAATTACGCCTAAATTGTAGCTTACTGGTACAACTTTACTCGTACGTTTATGAGTTTGTTTTATCATTTTTTCGGACAATGCAAATTGCATTCCATACCGTAATTTAACTCAGTGATTAAAAATATCGTCAGTGGTTGCCCGGGAGTATCAGGTACAACTTGACATAAAATAGAACACTTGTTTATTGTGTCTGTATGTCATCTACTCCTTTGGGTTTCATGACTTGCGGGGACTGCGATGGTATCACCAGCTTTTTGCAAGAAAGACGGGCCCGTTGGGTGCGTAGGCCCTACACATTTTCAGATATTAGAAAGCCATTATTATAACATAAACCACCAAAAAAAAAAAACCCCAAAAAAAAAAAAACAAATTAGGCCTAGTGATAAACCAACTCAGAATAAAAATAAAAAAGACTGTCTGCTAGCTATCAATATTATCGAGTACAAAACGAGAATCTTTAAACTTATTACAAGTGTTAATCACGCTCGACAACACACCGTGCGGTAGCTCTCCTAGTGGCTCACGGGGACATGATAGCCAATTCGGATCTATGATCATCATGGGATATACAGTATTAATGTACAACAGGGAGTGATAGTTTCACTAATCACTTGGCAAAAAGTAACTTGCCATATTTGCAAGGTAATTTAAGAATAATTTATTTAGCGTACCTTTGAACATGGAAAAAATTGAGCTAGAAATTAAACGACTGCTGGGAATTTTGTAGTATATGACCGGAATCTCCAAATATTTAGAAATTTGAAAGATATTATTATTACATTTTAAAGTCGATATAATCTGTAAAAATTACATAGAAATTTATTTCTCTTCTACGAATTATGTTTAGCTCTCGGACGGGGGCCAGCTCTCTACGATTGCAGGACCTGTCCGCGCACCGCCGCCACACTGGTGGGACAAACTATAGGCCTACTTTAGGCTTTGTTACAATTATTTTGTTGCACAATTTTCGTACACCAAGTTGTATTTTGTACTACCATAATAAAATGATGTACTTACTGGGGGCATGACCCAATCCCACACTCTCGGCGGCCCTAAACTTCAATTCATATGAAAAAAGAAACATACAATGAGGAAAGGGAACTCAAATAACTATAGCTTACCTACATTCTATACATAATTCTAGCACAGTGCAATATTCATCAATAAATTAACTCCTCGTTTTCATGTCCAATTTATGCTTTAAAGAGAAATAAATTATCTATTGCTACAAGATATGCATCTCAAGTCCAGAGTTCTGTAAAATGCATGTCACGCCGCCTTCATCGTCACGTTGCGACGAAGGATTTCCTTTTTACTACTAGGTATTTCTTGTTGAATAAGCGGAACACTGCACGTAATGAAAAAACTTTCTAGAAGCCTGTCACTCCAGTTTTGTTTTATTGCTTACAGTTGTCATTTAAAAAATAAATAAATAAAAATAGGCCTATAGACCTATATAAAAATATATAGCCTAAATCAACGGTATATCCAGCTAAAACTATATTGTCACGCCAAAAAAACAAGACGCATCGGTACACGGCACACGAGTTTGTTTGCTTCGGTCTACAAAATCTCAGAAAAACGCTGTGTACTCAAAACATCAGGTTCTGGGAAACTTACTTAAACAAAAGATACTATTAATAGTATAGGCCTACATAATACAGTAAGCGTTACTTGTTGATGGCTAACTCAATGATAAAATGTAATTTTCCATAGGATTTAAAAACACTAATGAGTGTTTAATCACCAGACAATAAATAAACTGCATTACTTACCCGTTGATACATTATGCTGGTGCCACAAACGGGTCCTAACTCGAGCTAGCTGACACAAATGTAATGAAAATAGTATATAGTTACAATACTAAATTGTATGTACAGATATTGATGGTTCTCGTATTCTCTGTACTGAGTGTACATAACACTCACCAGCAACCAGTAGAACTCGTTTTAACGAAATACGTAGACAATTCGGTGACCTTTCGATACAATGGGCCTGTAGGCATACTATACTGTATTTTCGCATAGGCATAACGTGCTTATTACTTTACTTTGAAAAATGAGGGTTGTTGTCTTTTGTTGGCGCAACGGTTGTGATTCGAAATCTCAACTTGAGGTCGAGGGTTAAAACCCCCTTGTGCGATCACTTCACTTATCCTTACAAAATACACTTTTATATCTACAATCAATTTCTCTACCCAGGAATATAAATAGGTAGGCCTACCTACCGGCTTAGGAGAGTGAGTTAAAACAGATTGATACCGGAAGAGTATCAAACATAACATCCCCCACTCACAGTCTTGCCCAAACGCTGAAGAAATAGAGATGGATGGCGCCTGGCCTGTGAGCAGAGTTCAGGTTTCCGCCTTCTTTACCTCTTAAGACAATTCATGATGTATGGTACACAAAGATGAATTTTAAATTTTAACTTTAATTATTTGCGAAAACTCAATATAGGCTTAGGCCTATAACCACAAATATTTCCTCTTTCTTTCTTAATGCAATTTTAAATTATAATTAAATTTGGGTTTTTTTTCTGTTCGCATTTCTTCTGAGCCAGAACACAGTGGAACCTCCTTCTCAAATAATGTCCCAGTTATTTATGGTGCACACGATTTAGTTGTTGTAACTGTGCCTACCTACGGTATATTCACAGTCTTTATCCGAGAAGACCACCTGATCGGATCCAGAGCCTTGGTGGAGACTATCAGTTGAAACAGATATTACGCTATTACAGCATTGGTAAGGGCAGACATAGGCCTATATATAACATTCGAAAACAATATTGAGCAAATAGACATACCGGTACATAGATTTTACTTCGTTTAGGGCCTATTGGTCATTTCAAAGTAAAATATTGACAACAATAGAGCAATCATGGACCAAACTGCAATGAAGTAAATCTAAAACGTATTCATGAAGTATGATCACCTGACGTTATTCAAAAACTCAAACAATATATAGTTGAACAAAACACGTACAGTACCTTTTTCGATGTGTGTTTCGATGTATTTCTTTTAGATCTATGCAGATTGAACGGGGTCCCTATTATAGCTCCGATCCCATTGGTAATGGTCTACACCCATTCTAGCTTCACTGGGTCTGGGGAGCGGTATGGGATCTATGGATTCAATTGAATTTCTAAAATCTATAGGCGCCATATACCGCTAGAAATTACAGTTTTTATCAATGACATCTTTACCTACATTTATATAGTAGTATACTTGGTATTTTAGTTACATCTCATTGTTAAAGCTAAAAGGATCTACCCGGCCATTAAAAGTCTAGTAATATAGTTTAAAAGCAATAGAAACCTAGTGGACTCAAAATAATTCCAGTTATCTGAATACAAATATTATGGCCAAGGTTGAGGTCGATTCCACGTTATTTATTGTAATTACGTGTCATATACAGACCTGGTTAAAAAGCTGGAATTCAGTGTAAAGCTTAACACTTCAGTTCATCAAAAAACATTAATAGAACATATATGACCTACATACAATGAACCCGTAAGTATTTCAGCGGATAAATTCTTTTATAAGAGCAGCTTAGCTCAGTCGGCTAAACTGGTGGTGCCACTGTGTGTGCGCTGAACCGTGGAGATCTCTTAGGTTTAACTTGAGAGCTGAATTGCAAATTACGATAGCGTATTGTCTTTCGTTGGTCCCGTGTGCATTATGACCCATGTGCACCAGGGGTGGATCCAGCCTGCCAGAATAGGGGGGGGCGTAATCTGCGAGCGAAGCGAGCAGCCTTAGGCTGGGGCCGGGGGGGGCCGCCTAGGGCCCCCGGCGGGGTCCAGGGGCAGAGCCCTTGGTGGGTGTTTCAAGGGGTCTTCGCCCCCTTGAAGCCCAGCACATTTGAGGAATATGAGGATGTATTTAGTTGATTTTTGACTATCAAGCATGGTAGTTTTCAGTAACAAAAAAATAAAAAATAAATATGTGTTTTAAAAGAAATTTTAATATTCTACAATATCCAACAATAAAATATGTCATTAAATTAATAAAAAGAAAAAAAATGTCAAAAAATGTAAATGAAATTAATCTGAAATATATCAACAGTTGTAATTGTTAGAAAAAATAACCTACCTACATGTTCGAATCATAAAAAACGGAGCATTTTACAAGAAGTTTTTTTTAACCCTCAAGCTTAAAGTAGTTGGAGCATGGTACCAGTGAACTGCCAATTGGCAAAGATTTATTACCTTTGTTTGACCATGATCTGACCACATGTGTATACATAGTAATTAACAGAAGGTCATCTAAAAGGAGTTGGAAGAGCCATATTTTGTTAAATTTGGGTGTGAATAAATAACAGCTACCCACAGGAATGTAAACCAGTGACAAATGCAGCCTCTGTGTATTGGTTACTGGTAGGAAAAGAAGACTTATTATGTGCAGGGAGTTGTTATCAACAACTCCCTGTTATGTGTAACTTTTTTCCTTTTGGTTTTATTTATTTTTTAAATTTTATTTATTTATTTTTTATTTTTTATTTTTTTTAAATAGGGGGGGGGGGCGTACGCCCCTAAATCCGCCCCTGCGCACGTTAAAGAACGCGGTACACTTTTCGGAAAAGAAGTAGGGGATTGTCTCCCTGTGCATTGCACAATCACCACCGGAAGGACCGCACTGGAAATAAGTCTTCTTCAGACTTTCAAGGGGTTATCCTTGGTGTGTTTACACCGAATAAATCCATCCAAATCCACTATATATTGACACTCCATTGCCTATGTGTATTCAATAACGTCAACGAACTTAGGCCTATCAGAAATATGATATTGAAAGTACAACAATTGGACAATGTCAAAATTAAGTACAAACAAAACGTGATTACTCATACTTTCTTAAATACAAAGGCATTTGATGTTTGTTAAGAATATTTGTGAAACTTGGTACCCTGACACCGAGGTGGTTAGATGCTACATAATTCATGTTTAGGTTCCAAATGATGTTACTCAGCATCACAAAAGTGTTTGATAGCCAATGATAAGTCAGACCTCTACGGAAGGCCGAAATTCCTATATGCAATTTGTAAAATATTACACTGGTGCCGAATGCTTATCATGGTTCATAGGCCGGGCATTAAATTCATGAACAAATTTTAAGATCAACTGTAACACCTCTTTATGCCCGGAAATAGAACTCTTACGAAAAGATTTTTTTTTTTCTTCCATAGGGGCCTTCCCTAGGGGGCCTTACCTTGGAGGCGGATCCAGGAATTTTATTAAAAGAGACCTCAAAAAATGTATTTTTAAAATTCTTAATTCAGGTAGAAATGTTAGGGACTTTTGAATATCCTCTAATCTAAAGCGTTAGTAGTCGTTGAATTTTTGTACATTCCCTAGAGTCCAATATTAGGCCTATTATTTGGAGAGGTTAGCCAACTGCATAGCTGGATAAAAAAAAAATCAAAATAGGCATTCAATAATTAACTGTTGTATCATTGATGCTAGATTATTGGACGGAGGGCTAATGAAGGACTCGTGCATTGCTTTAATATTTATTCAATAATGTTTTCAAGTAATAGGGCATAATTCCATGAACAATATTAGGCCTACATGTACGCAAAAAAATCATAACCAACAGTTGTTTTGAAATTCAAGTTTGCCTGTGACAGAGAGCAGCTACTAATAGCAGATTTAGTAAAGTCATAGATCCTGCTGGTTTCCTTTTTTAAAGATTATACCATACTACCACAGCATGATATTATAATTTTAAGGTCATTTACCGGTTTCCCAACTTTATTCCGAAAATTAAAAGGACTGAGCAAGTCAACATGATTTATCTAGAATCAGACAGTGTCTCAAACAAACAAAATTCCGGTCATAAGTCAACGTATTATGTTTGAATTAGTTTGTTGCGATTGTCTGCCTGCAGCGTGACCACTGCTTGGGTATTTACCCAAGATCTTGGGTATTTTGACTCGGTCTTGGGTTATTGTGTATTCCGTTCAAATCCTTGGGTATTTTATTTTTACTAAGAAAATAAAATATTTTTGTCATAGAGGAAGAATTAAGAAGTAACAAAGTATATTTCAGTCCTTTCAAGTAAGCTAAACTCAACGAAGTGCACATAACACTGTTTAATTGCTATAAACATGGGTTCAGTGCCCTCCATTGATCCCCCTAGCTACACCACTGTTCATGACATACCCATATCTGTTCTGAATTCAACTGCTTTATTTAAGCTGATGCTTCTATATTTTTTCAACCAAATGGTGCCGTTAACGATTTCCATTTCCTTTAGTTTGAAAATTTGAAAGAAAATTTTCCTGTTATACACACGTTTCCACTTTGGCCTATTTTAAGTAGGCCTAAATGTTATAATTTTCAGGTATTAAATACTAATAGTAGGCCTATAGGCTTAGACTATTAATAGGCCTACTGATGATCTCTAGGTATCCGGTTCATAATAAGGAAATATATTTTAATGGACAAACAAAATCTTCATATTTATTCACGTTACCGGTTGTTTGTCTGCATTTATTCTATGTCGATCTGTTAGTTTGCGTAGACGTCGTTTGCCAGCCGTCAACAGCGGCAACTGAGAATCATATTTGAGTCGTCAGTTGTAATTTTGATCAAGTTGTTTACAATGTAGATCGTAAGCTGCATGATTTGTTTCAACTCGAACTACAACTAAAGTTTATTTTTAAAATCATTTTCCATAGTCGAAATTTAGCGATGGAGCAAGCCATTTAAAATCTATGTGGAGTGTTTATGTGGAGCGATATAGGTGGAGCAATATACCCACGTAAGTGGCATACAGTCCAGGCTGTCTCCTAGTGTTATACTATATATAGCTTAAACGCATTTTAATGCATTTAACATAATAAATAAATCGGAATGAAGAGATCTCACCATAGACCTATTGTACACTGACCGTATAACCCCACTGACTAGATCCTAAC